CTAGGGTTTGAGTTTGGGTGCGGATGAGGTTATTTATACCCATCCACTTTTGATCTGGATCGTCTATCGCATTTAATCTAAACCGTCCGATCACGATTAAATAGAGAGTGAATCTGAACCGTTTATCGCGATTCAATCTGGACCGTCCGTGCGCGATGCAATCTGGGCCGTCCGTGTGTATTTTGATCTGGGTCATCTGTGCGCGCGGGAATGGATCTCAGCCGTTCGATCGCGTGCACGCGGATCACCCACATAGCTCCCCTCGCGTGCTCTCCCACGTCATCGTCTCTGCCACCTGGCGCGTCCTGGTTGGTCGGGGCTGCTGATCGGGCAGCTGACGTGGCGTAACTTTTTTAAATTGCGTTTTGACCTCTGGTTTTCGATTTTTCTTTCAAAAATACTCGTAGAATCCAAATTTTCTTTCCGATTCATCATTTATACAAAGTTATAATACACGAGATTTAATAAAATTTTAATTATATTTTTTCTCATAAATTTAGCTCTATTTTATAAATTCAGATTTTTCAAAAAGATATAAAAATTCTTTAGAGTCTTTTATACTATTTTGAACATGCTCTGAATTTGTTATAATATGAAATATTTGTAGAAATTTAGAGTGAGAATTTCACTATCTCAACAAGAAATGGATAATACCCAAAACAAAGATATACAACAGCCAATTACACAAATTTAATAAACTATATGTAAATTTTAATAAAGAAAAGTGTTAAAGCTGAAAAAACAACCTAACAACTTTTCTTTTTCAGATTTTGCCATTCCACAAATTCCTTACTTTCTCCCCACATATTTCCAATATCATATTTTATATTTAAAATTTCCTTTCACATATTGTTTCTCAAATTTTCAAATTCAAAATAAAATGATATTCAGGTCAACATATATTAAATCGAATGTTATGGTTAGATTCAAACAGAAAAACAAAGTCCTAAATAAAAAAATCATTCCAGATGTAGAAAATGTTTAGGCAGAAGATTAATACGAAAAGCAGAAAATAATTAGTTTTAAAAATTGCCAACTACAAGTCCAGAAAGATAATATGAAAAATAAATTATATTTTGCTTTTTTGTTTTTTAAAGACCCAGACGCGGATCCGCCTCGCGTCAACGTTTAAGCTATAATTTTCAAAATTAATGGGCAAAAACAATAATTTATCCATCGGCAGCAATAATAAAATGACCTCCTGTCAAAATTTAGGGGAAGATCGAGTCTGAGAGCTGTATTTAGACTTCAGCGCAGACCTTGATTGAGGCGTAGTCCAGCGTCGTCTTCCTACTCCTCCTCCAATCATTGTTTGCTCAATCAAGGAGAATTAGGACGCAAGATAAGGAGATCATGGGTCAAGTGGAGAGCAAGAAACCGTCAGTCGTGGATGCTGCTGACCAATCTAAATCCTGGCATTCCTCCTCAGTACCTTCTCCTCCAGTTGACCGACAAGATTATCGAAGTTTTTCTGCTCCTATGAACTCGCTTTCTGCAGGTTTTTTTTTTTTGTCTCCCTTCCTTTATTGTCAAATGAGTGTATATAGATGCATTGCTGTATGTATTTTTTATATAGTTGCTGCAGCGTTTAAGACTGATACTCCTTATTTACCCAACATCATCTGTCTCTGTTGAGTTGCTTGCGGTGTGCGTTAAAGGTAGAGAGAAGAAATTATGAGCTTATTTGTGTTTTATAAAATGCTTTAGTTGTTTGGATCAGAATATTACAATTAGATTATAGGATTTGGCTAGTGATTGCTTGTTTTTTGGATTTTCAATGATCATCAGTCTTTTCTCAATAATTTTGTCGGAGAGATTAAATTGTGCCTAAATGGTTGGCAAGTGAAGAGTAATTTATCTTTAAGCATTAAGAGAATAGACAAAATGGAGTACTTTTTGGTGGGAGAAAGACACGGTAGAATACTTGAAAAAAAATCTTTTTTTTAAAAATATGAATAAAGCATTTGGTGGAGAGATATGTGGTTTTTGTTTAGCTAAAATCAGTACTAACATTAATTCTCAACTTTGATTGCTGGTTTAAAATAATGCAAATTGTAAAGATGAAAAGAAAAGAGAGAAGATTTTGGATCCTCATCCAGAGTTGAAACCATGTCCGGGATTAGATAAGGTTATAAATATCTGCTTTGGACCTACTCTTGTTTCCTTCTGAAGTGGCATCAATTGCCATAACTTTTGATCTTCCCACTAACAGTGGAGTCAGATGGTGTGGTTTATCATACATTAATGTCAATGATAGATTGTTAATCTGAGAAGTTGTTCAATAGAATCTATTTCCAAACTTTTTTTCTTTTTTTTTTAAGGAGTACAACTTTATATGGAGCTAGATATATAACACACCCCATGTACAGATCTGTTTTGTTGAGTGAACAGGATGGAGTAATGTCTTCATCTTCACATAAATAAGTGATATGTCTATAGTATGTCTTGCTTTGACTACTTAAGTTGTCATATTCACACTTTATCTGTCACTAGCTGTACAGGAAGAAGTGGACTCCAGGCAGATTTCTGATTGTTTAAGGATCCAGTGTCTCAGTCTTTTACTGTATTGTACAGCAAACGCCTTCAAATTAATTAATTGTTTTGAAATTAATTAAAATGAAAAAAGTAAAACTTCATTTCTATATTATATTCAATTAATTTGCATGGACTGAGGTATTATGTGAACAAGTATATGAATATTACTTTTTCCTTTCAAAAAAATTAAATAAAAACTTCAGTGATTTCCATGTTTATTTGCTAGAAATATGCAAAGGAGAGATATTTATGTCCATCTGTATATGTATGTGTGTGTTTCAAAGTTTTATTATCCTCTTCCTTTGTTGCCAGTGCTTATAAGTCCCTTTTTTATTGTCAGTTATTTTTCAACTTCATTACATGGTAGAGTTTGTAAAAGGAAGGAAAATGGGGATGGAGAGTTGGATTCAATTTTGATCAAGTATCCTTCTCTTGATATAATTCTTAATATAATGAATTTTACATAAATAACTAGATTATAGGATATTCTTAATGTTATACTTTAAAGGGATCATTACTGTTTTGCTTCTTTTCCTTGCTGCTAATGCTTATAAGTCTATGGTAGATTGTGTAAAAAGAAGAACAGCAGAGGTTTTCATTCAATTTTTAAATCAAAGTGTTCTTTGTTCATATTTTTCTTTAAAGAGCATTTGTTACATGTCATCTAGAGTAACTGTGCATCTCTATTACCAAGTTTACATATGTTCAGAGGACTCATAATGAAACTCTAAAGTGACTAATAATGAATCTCTAAAGGGACTTTCAGTTTGATTCTTATTGGTGAAATCTCTAATTCTATATTTCTAACACCTTGTCAGCATAGAATCACAAAAGAAAGAAGTCTAAGAGAAAAAAAAATACAGTTTTATTCTTTTTAAGAGAATATATATATATATGCATATATGACTTCGTTCTTTGCATTTAGAGAACAGATTTGCCATGTTACTAGATTTAAATGATGGTCCCATAGTGCAGTTGGTGCAGCTTTGATCTGTCTTTTCTTTTTCTCTTAATTCACTTTTTTAAGACATCAAATTAAGTGGTGTTGAATTGCAATCTGGAAGGAATTACAGATTGTAGAATTCACAGCACCATGTGAGCTTAAAAGAGATGAGAGTCCCTTATTTTTTGGTAAGAAAAGCAGCTTTCTTGAAAAAAAGAAGGTAAAGAAGTGATGTAAAATGGTTTATGTGGAAATAGGTTAGAAGTTATGATTCTTTTAATTTAAAATTACTATACTATTTATGAGTCTAATATTATTATAGTTTTAGTAATTTACTATTTCTATTCTTATTAGTATTCTTAATATTATTAGTATTAGTTTCTTATTCTTACTAGTATTATTTCTCTTAATTCTACTAGTTTCCTATGTTTTAATTTAGTTCTAGTTAGGAAAATTATTTAGAGATTATTATAAATAGTTTTTTTAATTTCACTTATTGGTTATTCAAGTTATTAAACAAGTTTTTGAGAGTTTATCACTTTTCTGGTCATGTGATGCAATCAAATTCTTAAATGTGATGCTTAACACTTTTTAGGTGTGATGTGTAAAAAAATCCTAGGTGTGATATCTAGGTTTTTTTATCCCCAAATTCCTAATTGGACAAATTAACCTTATTTGTCCTACATTAATTTGGTGTAGAGCTAAAAAAACCCAATACCCAGATTCCCAAAATCTTACACTCAAAGAGTCCCAATTTATCTGGAAAAAAAATTCACAAAGAGGAAAAATTCACAAAAGCTCTAGGTGTAATGTCTAGGTTTTTCTTTTTTCTCCCTAAATCCCTAATTGGACAAATCAACCCTATTTCCTATTTGTCCTACATCAATTTGGTATTAGAGCACCGCCTCTATCACCAACTTCAAAAGGTCTCTATTGGCGGACCCATGAAGCTCTATCTCAGATTCCACCAGACAAAGTGCCACTCGCTAGTGCTAGTCCTCCCACCTTTGCCTCTCTCGATCCTGTATTTCTAAGCAACTCTGTCTCACACCGACTTCCGATCTGCAACTGCCACTTCCATTTAAGACCACTAACCAAAGATCAATGCCATCCGATGACCGGAAGTTGACGTGTGAAGCCCACACGTGGCTAGCCATGAGTAGACCTTGTGCAATCTGTTCTGTTTTGGCCTCTTTCATATGAGTTCCCGGTTCAACGAGAAATTAAGCTTCGACAATGGTGACCAACGCTGAATTAAATGTTAAATTTGAGATTCATGAGGCATGCACTAATACTAGATTGGATTAATGCAACATAGTGTCGAAACAATCTTAGAAGAATGGAGGCACTTATGCACCGTATCAATATGTCCACCTATCCAAAATGTACAAGTTGAACAAGCTGCCAATAGAAGACATATTGAAGATAATGCAGAAGTAATGACAAGAGGGTAAAGGTTAAAGCTTCTGATTTTGATGGAAGAAGAGACCTTGATATCTTCCTTGATTGGCTTAGTTCAATGGAAGAGTACTTCAACTGGTATGGTATATCAGATGCACAAAGAGTTCAATTTGCCTTGATAAAGTTGGTTGGACTTGCAAAAATATGGTGGTACACTATTGATAAAAGTATACCAAGAAAGAGACTCGAAACATGGGATGAGATGAAACTGTTTTTCATGAAAAGCACCTACCTTCCAACTATTTTGACAAACTTCATAATCAAGTTTACATTTTATTCCAAGACAACATGTCAGTAATTGAGTGCACACACAAATTTGAAGAATAAAAGATTTAGAACAACTAGTTGAAGATAATAGTCAAATAACATCTAGATTCAAGGTAGTACTAAGAGTTGATGTTGAAAGAGAGTTAATTCGACAATATTTTGTAATTATAGCACAAACTTACCAAGCAAGCCTTGATATAGAAGAATATTTGAAATGCCCAATCCCAAGAGACATTATGGAATCCATTCCGAAAAATACAATTGAATCAAAATGTCAACTGAAGAGTGGATCAACATAAAATCTCAAAACCCTTAAAGGTAAGGAAGTTGTGTGCTTTAGGTACAGACAAAGTGGGCACATGAGTTATGAATGTCCAATCAAGAATAACTTGCATGTTGGACTAAAAGAAAAGGAAGAGGTGCAAGAAAGAGATGGTAGTTATTTATCCTATAAGGATGATGAGTTAGCTCCTAGTGAACAAGTACCTCTCTTTTGTTAAGGTGCATATCCTTAGACTCCGAAGTGGAAGAATAAAAAGATTCACGATGTCTTCCTATTGTTTTCTCCAACTGTCAACTCTATGGATGGGCAAAAAGAACCATTAAGTATTCCTATTGCTCAATATCTTTGCCTACGAATCAACTCCACAAAATTTCTACGCAACAAAGGATTTGGCGTACTAATTGGTCAACATATTAATTTCATCCTCCCACAAAGACTTAACACTCCTAAACAATTTTGTATTTCTACTATTTTAGGTATTTGCAAGAAAAACCAAACACAAAGGTAGCTAAGTTTTCGTAGGCAAGCTCAAAGGTCAAGGTTTTACATCATTTGCCACTTTAAAACTTGTGGACGAGGGTTATACTAAATAAATTAGAGATTATAATTCTTTTAAATATAAAACTACTATATCATCTAGGAGTCTATTATTGTAAATAGATTTGTAATTTCATTTATTGATCATTCAAGTTATATAATAATATTTTGAAAGTTTCTCATTTTTTTTTATTGTGTGATGCAATCAAACTTTAAGTATGATGCTTAAGACTTCTTAAATGTGATCTCTAATAAACCTTAGATACGATATCTAATTTTTCATTCCTGAGTCTCTAATTGGACAAATCAACCTTATTTGTCTTACATCAAGAAGGGAAGGTAAGATATCCTCCTATAGGAACACAAACATGAGTAACAAAGAGAAAAACAAAGATGAAGTAGTTCCAGTAAGGTAGAGCAATGAGGAGAATTATTTTTTATGTTGGATAAATGTAAAGGAATGTCCAGATTAGCATCCAGTTATCATTCTGCACTATGTTAGGTGGATTGACACAAGGGAAGCTTTTAGCTGTTATTGTTTATGGAGTTTTCAGTTTATTTCAGTCTGTGAACCTAACAACAGTATGATGGAGGTGAGACCTCTTAAATTTTAGGCTTTGTTGCAACCGATTCACAACTTAAAAAAAATATTGGTTTTAGGCCATTCAATTGAGAACAATTTTCTTAATTTTTTAAAAAATAAAAATAAAAATGGTGTATGTATATGTATGTGGTGGCAGCAGAAGGTTAACATTTTTGGGCGTGGTTCATAATCATGAATGTTTACCTTTAGCCTATTCAATGTCATGCTGAAGACAGAGCTGTCCCTAGAATTTCAGCTCCTGCTTTTCATGTTTCTAGCATATTTATTAGATACTCAGTTGTCTATCCCTATTTTGGTAACAATCAACTTTTACATTGTTGCTTTGGTTAAGAACATAGTCTGAGATATCATTTTCCACAATCAACTCAAAATTCTCAACTTCATTGAATAATAAATTATTCAGCATGCACTGCCTACATGAAACTATGCTGGGGGTTCCTTCTATATAGACACTAGAAAGTAAAACATCCCACCAAATTGGCATTTTTTGTAAGAGACTCGCCTAGGAAAGAAACTACTACAGTAGTATGGAAACTAAGCTGCTAAAGTTCAAAAGAAACTAAATAATTTTTGAAATGATTCCTAGCCTTTAAGATATCTTAATTGAGCCAAATACACAAAATCTCGTAATAAGACAGGTATTTCTTAATATATTACGCCAAGTATTTCTTGTATGTTACTCCTTTAGGTTTAGGTTCTTCCTATTTTGCATGAGTACTGCTATACTGAATTATGCTAATATAATCTAACTAATGGAAGTCCTGTAGTGTTTTGATTTGGAAAAGGCAGTGTCTCTTCTGAAACGTTTTCATAAATTTTTGATATTCTCCTAATCTTCCTTTTACAGAAACTGCAGCATATGACCGTGATGAGAATAAGGTTAGCCTGCATTTAAATTAAGTAACTTGCTTCTTCTTTTCTTTCTCCCCTCTGATAGTTGCTAAAGATTGACCAACAAATTTGTCAGTCTCTTGAAGACATGGCTAAGAAAGCGCTTGAATGCCCTTGCATAGCAGACCTGCGAAATGGGCCGTGTGGTTCTCAGTTTTCATCGGCATTTCTCTGCTTTCTCAAAAGTACTGCTGAGGAACAGGTACTTATTAACTGTGTTTTGGACCATTTCTTACTTAGCCATCTTTTTGTTCCGGACCATTTAATTTTCTACTCTTAAATCATAGTTATAGACAACATTTTAGCGGGTAGTATCAGATTTTGTCCATGATTTGAAGATGTATACAAGTGAAAGCGAGAAATAATAGAGAGAGTGCAGAGAGACGGGAAGAAGAGTATTTGAGAAGAAACACAGAGAGAATGAGTAATTGGAAATGAGAGAAAATGAAAAATGAGGTACTTTTCCATAAATGAGAAGGGGTACTTATATAGAGAGGGAAAAACTAAATTACAACTAATTACAAATGAGTCTCAATTAGTTAGAAACTAATTACGAACTAAAACTAATTAAGCTAACAAAACTAACACAACTGTTTAACTGTTCAAATGGTTTGGTAAGATATGGAGGGTGATAAAAGGAGAAAGATATATCATCTCTTATCCCTTTAGTACCAGATATTTGAAAGGAGAAGCTAGGACTATTTGTAGTTTTCCTTCTCCAAAGATTGGAGGCGATGTCTATCTTTCCACAGAAAAGATGCCTAGAAACAAAACTATGGCATGCTATAAAAATTACAAATATTATAAAAATATAAAACAACTTTTTTATTCTTTAAAAGAGTTGTATCTCTTCACAATTAATGTAATATAATTTTATTAATTATTTGAAAATAATTATTAAAAATGAATTTTAATAATGATAAATGACATTATTTAATTAGTTATATCTTAAATATTTAATATATTTATTTTTATTAATAATATTTTTCCTTAATTTCTTAATTTCTGTATATAAAAAAAAATATCTATAAAAGATAATGATAAGTTGCATTCCATCATAATTACAAATATATATATGTATTTATTTAATAAAAGAATTAAATGATACAAAATAAACATATAAGGAGAAGTAGATATAGCTTTTCAGTACAAAAACTATCAGCATTAAATCTAAGTGTGTTTTTCTTGAAAAAAAGTGGTGTAACAACTATGAATGAACACTGTAAAAAATAAAAGAGCACAAGAAAAAATCATTTAAGAAAGAAGTCTTTATTTATATTTTTTTCTTCTATGTAAGTTATATATATATATTATAAATTCTTAAAATATTATATTCATAGATAGTAATTTATTTTTTAAAGTACAATATCTAGCAACTAAGTCTCCTTTTTTATGGTTTATATCAGTGATTAATGTTTTTTATCTTTTAAAAATATAATTGATTGTATAATTGTTCTATTATGTTATTAAAAATAATGGCACTTATTTATTAAATAAATGTCACCGAATTATATGATTGTTATATCAAAAATAACTAAAATATTTTTGTTAAAAAATTATAATATAGAAGTTTTAATCATTAAACCATAATGTATTATGGATGATATAGTCTTGCTTATGATTATATTATCTATAATTGTCACAAACATAGAACTCTTAATTAATATTGTTATTAAATAATCAAGTAATACAATCAAATTAAGAAAATGCATAGAAAAACAAGTATACTACAAAAAGTAATCTAAAATTTTGATAACTAGTCAATATTGAATATATGTACTCTTTATTAACATTAAGAACAAAGAAAAGTATAAAAATTATTTATATATATATAATATTATTTATTTCACTTATCATCAACTGTAGAAGTCAAATATGCATTTATTAAAAATATTTGTATTATACTTTTTCCAAAATTAGGTTGGGTGAACCTACTTTCATCCACGGGAGCTAACTCCGATGGGCGGCAACCCCGGTGGGTGGCTTGTTTATATTATCTCATATATTCATTTAAATAAATTGGTATATACATACAATCTTTACATGATTATAAACAATATATTATACTTGTTAATTATTTACATAATATATTACAAAACAAATATTTCTGTTAGGTTTAACCAATTGCTTTAGACTTAATATTTTAATGTTATTATTATTCGTTCCAGTTGATTTATTGATGAATTGTGCATTAGTTTGAGTTTTGAGGAAAAAGAGATCATACTGTATCATACCTATTAATAGTAGCCGATACGTGTTGTGTTATTGTTGTATGTATATATATATTGTACATGACAAGTACCAATTAAAACTGGTGAAATTAGTTACTACACTCAAAACTGGTCTTATTGGCCGGTATACCATTTTACTTTTTTTAACCCAAAAAATTTTTGAACTTCTGCTAAAAATCTGTATTTTAGTTTTTGTTTATTAATAAGCTGTAAAGACTAAACTACAAAATCCCTAACCCTGACATCTAAATTTTTAGACACACTCTTTCTATCTTAGTCTCTCGGCTAGAAACATCTTACTGTTGCATGGCTCGATAAAATTATTTGATTTTCTTGTATATTCTTTTTACTGTAATGTTCTTGTTTCTACTTCCAATTTTTCAGTGGGTTACTTAATATACTGAAGGCTAAAGATTTAAATATATTTTATGTTATTTGATTTTCTTTAGGAACTATACTTCTTTAAGAACTGAACCGCTGGCGATCATCAGCAGCCATGTCAAACGACATATGGCAGCTGACAGAAAAAACAAGTATTAAATTTGTGTCACGTGTTAACTACAGTGATACATAATATAATTGTTAACATGTTAAAATGCTATAAATAGAAAGATATTAAATTTAATATTTTTTAAAATTACATAAACTAAACTAATATAAAATTGAAGTAGATACTAAATTGAACAAAAATTAATAGTATAGGGACTAAATATATATTTAGCCCTTTGTTACTTTAGTTCCAACCTTTAGGAACCAACCAACATTCCGTAATCAGCTTAATCTTTTTTTAGTTTTAGGAATAAATTAGAATTCGAGTAGTCAACTTTAAACTTGTATAAATTAAGAGATGTGGTTTCATTATTTTGGGATTAGTATGTTAGGTTATGATATTATTAATGATTAGAATTTTAACAATGTCATTAAAACTTTAACTATATTGTAAAGTCGTACACGTGCCATACTCTCTTTTTTAGTGCTTTGTTGATACATATCTTATACTTTTTATTTTAAAAAAAATACTTGTTATCAATTAACAAACTAAATAGAAAATATAGAATTTTATAATTTACTATGATTTTGAAGTTTTTTAAAGTACTGTTATTAAAGTATTATAAAATATTAACAAGTTATTCTAGAATCATCATAAAATACCACATAAATTTTTCAATTATGCATATTTGAATCTTCAAAAGAAAAAGAAATGGGACAGATGTTTGGACTTTTGATTTTTTCTTGTAGGGCTCCGATTGTGTCTATCAGTTCGTGGCTTTGCAGAACTGTATTAAAAGCAATCCTAATGCATTTAAGGAGGAGGAAGTCAAGAAAGAGGGTGGACCAACTCAAGAATACAGAGTCCAGCCTCCCTACTTTTCCAAGGAATCAGAAAGTCCAAAGGCCAGACTTTAGCACAAAAGTTCATGGAATTCTATTCTCCTTTTTTTTTTTTTTTTTGTTTATTTTCCCTTTTTGGAATTTTATCTGCTTCTCTCGTTAACTTTTAATTCCTGCAAATGGAGATTAAGATGTGGGGAAGAGAATGGGATGGAACTAAAATAAGGAGATGCATGATTAAGATTTGAATAAATCTGAGCTTGTCCAAGAATAGTTCTGGTTGGATTTGATAAAATCTTGACTTGAAATCTTTTGAAAGAGTTTTCAGCTTAAGCCAGTTATCAACTTGAAAGTTGGCAGATGCAGTTACATATGTTCAATTACATGAATTTTTTTTCTAGAATAATTAGTTTATGTTTTTAACTCGTGATGTATAGATGCTAGTCAATAAAAATAATTGGAGGAGGGAATATCAATTATTGATAAAACTCCTGGTAAGGCTAAAAAATTTGAAAACGTGTTTAACTGTGCATTTTGGCTATGGGCAATAGCTGATAAAAACATCCTCAATATCTGTCTTTGATTTCCACCAAATCTGGAAAACAATCTTTTGACTGCTCAAGTTGGAACTTTAGAAAGGGAATTTGTGTCTTGTGATAGATTTGTAGTATAAAATGTATTTATCTTTGACTGCCTTACGTGTGTATAAGTACTTATCTACTCTTTGCAAATAATACATAACATAAAATCAGAAATTTTTCTCAACTTCCTTTTCTCAATCTAGATTTTATTAGGGCATCAAAGTCATGACTAGCTTAATCTGTGTCTTCCTATTCTTTCTTTCCAAATTTAATTGTCGTTCCATAATTTTCAACTCCTATCACTTTTTCTCACAATACTTATACGGTAATTAAATATAAATTATCTTATGTGAAAAACATAATTTGTCCTGAAAATTTATAAAAAAATTTAAATGTAACATCATTTCTTTTCATCAAATGTTTATTTAAACCTAGAAATTTTTTCTAATAAATTCTCAGTCTCACTTTTATAACCTAGCTTAAAAAATATTAAATGCTCCTTGAATTACTCATTTCCTTTTTAATTGAAGATGTTTTTCCATATGTATTTGGTCTTAATACATCATTTTAAGTGTGGGATGCTCTCCATAAGGCTTTTGGATAAGTTTTTATCAAGTGCTAATTATAAATATATATTACTTTTTAAGAGTTTAAAAAAAATATTATTCTTACTATTTTAAAGAAGTAAAACTCATTACTGATGAGTTTGTAGTTGCAAGAAGATCATTATCCAATACAAATTCAATGCTATTATACTTTATAATTCCCAAAGATACTTAATATTCTTCTTATCAACCTATAAGCCTCAAAAAATTTCTTTAACTACTCTTATAGTCTTCTAATGATTTGTTTAACTCTCATAATAAAAGATCTTTTAAGTTGCAAGTCCATGTTATTTACTTTAAAAAAACATCAAGGTGCATACTGGTCAACAACCAAATAAAATATGATACTTTTCCACAACCAGATCTTATAATGTAACTTTAGGTTCTGCTACCTTAAGCAACATTACGAATTATGTCTTTGATGTCATACTCTAAATCTTGATGGTTATATTAATTAACATGGATGTTACTGTTGGGACCAAAATTTCAACACATACATATATGCCATACTCGTTTCAATAGAGTTGTGCTTCTTTTTGTCAGTCATCTTTCGTCAAACTTTACTAGCTACATTTTATAATTATGCTTTGGTTACACTTAATAGGTCTTCTTCTAGTGGCAATGGTGCAACCTCTTTCAAGTATGCTTCTAATCCATGTTTTATCCATCGTCTCGACTCTTTTACGATAGTTTTTCTCTATCACTTCCTCTTTAGCAACCTCCCAGGTACTACTCCTAATGCCCTCTCATATCTTATGACATTGCAAGAATTGCTCAGATCCCTTACATTATTTTCAGTGATCTTTATAGTATGTTTGGAACCACAATAATCTTAGTACCTTATTGCTATTGTAACAGCCCCGAAAATCCAAAAGAAATATATAATAATTTAAGTGCAGAAGCGAAATAAAAATGTAACACCCACTAATTTTATATTTTATATTTTATTTGATTTTTTTAATTATTTATTAGTTTATTTTATAATTTTGAATTTAATTGATTAATTTAATTAATTTAATTAATTAAATAAAATAAAATAATAATATGATAAATTGGGTAAAAATATTATTTGGATTTAATTGAAATTGATTTTGGAAAAAGGGGTGAAAATTAGGATTCTGGGGGTATTTTTGAAAAGAAAATCGGAAACCAGGGGTCAAAACGCAATTTAGAAAAATTGTGCCCCGTCAGCGCCACGTCAGCGGCCCAGTCAGCAGCCCTGGCCAACCAGGACCTGCCGCATGGCAAGACCACGTCGACCCGAAAACGACCACGTGGGCGATCCGCATGCGCGCGATGGGACGGCCCAGATGCGTCCCCGCGCGCACGGACGGCCCAGATCAAGCGTGCGCACGGACGGCCCAGATTCAATCAAGTACGAACTGACCAGATTTAATCAAGATGGACGGATGTGATTAAAAGGCAAAAGGATATAAATAAAACCCCCACACCTGACCACAAAAACCCTAGCCACCTGCTCTCGCCGGAGAAGATGAACCAGATGCCGGAGGAGCCGGCCGCCGCCACCCGCCGCCGCACCGGGGAGTTTTTTGACCGCCGATCGAGGTAAATTTCATACCCCGGCTCTTTTTTCAATGCTGAGTTCCCCTGTGGCCAAATCAGAGCCAAAATCCCGGCCAAACGGCCGGAAAACACGGCCGAAACCCAGCGGCGCCGCCACGCCCCTCCTCGATTTTTGCCTCCGATGAGGCCCTTCCCGGCCTCCGTTTGATACAATTTTTATATCACCGTGATCACCATTCTTTTCTCTACAGGTTGATCAGAGCCAAATCACAAAAACACGAACTTCACCCCGAGAGCCGCCCCACCCGAGAGCACCGCCGCAGGTAAGCTTCGGTTTTTCATAATTTTTTGGCCCCCTGAGGGCCCTAGGGTTGTTTAATCGCAAGGATCGATGCAAGTGTGGCCGAATTCGGCCAGAAACGGCCGAAAACGGCTAACCCGAGGCGAATCGCCGCCGCAAGCTAGTAAGGCTGTCATTCTATCTGTTTATTTGATCACACCCCTTTCTTATTTTTCTCTAGTCTCCATTACCAAATCAAACATAATCACATAAACAAATAAACATGCATCCGGTAATACAATCATGTCTTAAATCCCAAATCAAACAGTGGTCTGGTAATGCAGTAATACGTGCATTTAAATTATAAAATAGATAAATCAGATACTGTCATACTTTTAGATTGTAAAATAAATCAATAGAGAACAATGTTCAGTTTGGGCTCCATTAGCAATCCATAATTAGTTGTGTACATTTATTTAATTTGTACAAAATACCGTATTATTATTTATTTAAACTTCAATTCTGTGATAGGGAATAGAATGAGAAATCCTTACTCAATTTGACGTCAAAAAGCTAAACGGTTTACTGCGCCTACGGATGGTCCCTGAGTTCCATGAATTTTTCTCTAGGAACTGAAACGCACTTATAGTACCTATAAATGTTCCAAATAAACCCAAAATCAATCCCAGAGCCCGCTCGGCCAATTTTAGAAATCTGGCACAGCGGCTCCGTCGTGCTCCGACGACGGTGCTGTCGCCCGCGGCGGTGGTTCGCCTTGGGTCAGCCATTTTTGACCGAATTCAGCCGATTTTGCATCGATTCCTGTGAGCACACACACTAAAGGACCTCTGTGATCCGAAAAAATACAAAAAATCAAAACTTATCGGTGGCGGGGCTCTTCGGTGCGGATGGAGTTATTTATACCCATCAGCTTTTGATCTGAGCCGTTCATCGCGTTTGATTTATATCGTCCGATCGCGATTAAATAGGAAGTGAATCTGGGCCGTTCATCGCGATCCAATCTGGGCTGTCCGTGCGCGATTCACTCTGGGTCGTCCGCGTGTGAGAACAGACCTCAGTTGTTCGATCGCGTGCACGCGGATTGTCCACGTGACTCCTCCCGCGTCAGTGCCTTTGCCACTTGGCGCGTCCTGGTTGGTCGGGGTTGCTGACTAGGCGTCTGACATGGTGCAATTTTTTAAAATTGTATTTTAACTATCGATTTCTGATTTTTCTTTCAAAATACCTCACGAACCTAATTTTTCACCCATTTTTTTTAAATTTATTTTTAATTTAATTCTTAATAATTTTTTTAATCTATTTTTTTATTAAAATAAATAAATAAATAAATAATTATAATTACTAATAAAAAATAAAAAGAAAAATTTTGGTGAGTGTTACAACTATTTTCTAAGACTTTATTGTTTAATAATTTTATTCTCAAAGTTTGTACCTCCCTTTTGACTAACTTTTTTTTATTTTAACCAAAATTTTCATTCACTCCTCTAAATTTGACATCTCTTTTTGATTGTTTCCATCTTATGATTATTTTCTCATGTATATACAATTAACTTGAGATAAAAATGTAGTTGATTTTGATTCTGGATTAATTTATATATTTAATTAATTTAGTAGATAAATATTTTGATTAAAAACATATTTTTGTTTCTTAAAAAGTAGACAATATAATTACTTTGAAATTTAAAACATACAAATGTAAGAATATAGTTTTAGGTATACTATCACTAAGTTTACTTTAAAAATTTATTTGAACTAAAAAAATATAACAATGATATGCTGGTTTTAATTTTAAGAGAACTTTTAGTGCACATTTAGTATAATTTTTATTATGTAAAAAATTTAATTAAATTATTTAACTAAAAATATCATTAAATTATAATAATATAGTCAGCAGCTAATTTTATATAATTGGTAAATAAATTATCATTAATTTCTTTTTACCATATTCTAAAGGTTGTTTTTTTTTTTTAAAAAAAATAAAAAATAAAAACCCGTTTTTATCAAAGAAATAAATAAATAAAAATAAAATGAGACAAAACCCATAAACCCTTGTAAGGTGTGGGTGTGGCTGCTGACTGGGAGCTAACCTTCAGAAAAAATTCAAAAAAAATAAAAAATAAAAACCCGTTTTTATCAAAGAAATAAATAAATAAAAATAAAATGAGACAAAACCCATAAACCCTTGTAAGGTGTGGGTGTGGCTGCTGACTGGGAGCTAACCTTCAGAAAAAATTCACTCATGGCTTTCGTTACTTCTTCATCTCCCTCTTCATCTTCTTTTGCTTCTTCACAGTTGCTTATCAGACCTCACAAAATCCCAAAACTACCCTTTCCTCCTCTCCTAAATTCCAAGTCCGCACTCACCCCCTGGATTCCTTTTTTCCAATCACACAGACCGAAAATTTCACCGATTCTAGTCTCGGCATCGGTCAAGAGCTCAAATGCCATTGCAGCAGAGAGCAAGAAGCAGTCAACATCTAATCATTCCAAGAATAACGGTGAAGAAAAAAAGGAGGTGGAGGTGGAAGTAGAGGAGGAGCTGCCATGGATTCATGAAAAGGCATTGGATCTTGTTGAATTCACTGGCTCTGTAACGCAGGCAATTCCTGGGCCCAGAGTGGGCACCAGCTCCTTGCCATGGATCCTTGCTATCCCCTTGGCCTACGCCGGCATCACCTTCGTCATTGCTTTTGTTAAGACCGTTAAGAAATTCACTTCGCCTAAGGCCAAACGCAGGAGACTGGTCTTTCTCCCCCTCATTTCCTTATTCTGTCATTTTCTTATCTGCCTACCTAAATTTCTTCTTAGTTTTATCTATACGATGTCTGTATGTCTTTTGGGTTTATTGGTTTTGGATTATCAGCATCCACATTACAGATATTTGTGTCCTTATCATATGAATTTCTATGCACTTGATTTTATGTTTTATTTTAAGGGTTTTTCTTTTTCTGCTCAGGTGAATAAAAATGCTTTGCTATGTAAATCAATAGACGAGTTATTCCAGAAAGGAAGAGATGCAGTGCAACATTCAGCTCTAAAAGGTCTAGCGCAAAAGGTGAGGCAAATATCTGTTGAACGAATCTCTGCCTTAAAAAGTTTCTAACAGAGTAGCTCGTCTTTGGTATGCTATTTGGGGGAGAGTTAATTCTCACCTTTGAAGATTGGAATTGAATTCACACCATCAAGGAATCTAAGTAGAATGGTGATTAAAGCACAACTTGTAATGTCCTAATTATGCTTATTAAGGGGGTGATTGGAAATGTTGATTCAGTGCTTATAGTTATTCATATCGGGTTCTTAAAATGAACTTGAAGAAGGTAGAAAATATCTATCCTATTCCTAACAAAAAATTCCTTATTTTTTAATTTAACCAATTTACTTAATTATCTTATTGATGTTTTCTTCAAATTAACAATATATACATAAAAAAATCCAAGTCCTAACTATTTATAAAAATATATGTATCTTCATTGATTTTTTAATAAAAAGAAACTTGTTATTTTTTAGGATTAGCACTCTATCCAAACGTGTAGTAACCTATTTTTTGAATAAAATTTGTTTCCTTAAGGTAATTTAAAGCACCTCACTGTTTTAAGGACATTTTTTTTCCATCAATCCCAAGCGCTCTCTTAGGCTGAGAGAAGAATCAAGAAATTGACTAGGAACCGATCGAGAAATGGAACAAAGACAAGCTAAAAATACTATAGACAAATAGCATAGTAATGTTTTGCAATGCTGTTATGCACTATTGCTTTCATAATTTTATTAGTGTTTGCTGGTTATCATAGAAGTAATCCTTTAACTGAAATTACGGTAAACTTGGTCAGATTCATCTCTTGAAATTCGCTTGTTGCAGTAATTCATCTCAAGTATCCAGAGATATGAACCATGTAGTCGACTCAGCAAGATTCACTCTTAAACACTATTATCTAACTAGTAAAAGGGAAAAAAAACATCTTGCTAAAGCTACGATCTTAGTTAGACTCTCTCTTTTTTAGTTTTAGGAAAAATGACCTTAGACTGGATAGGTTGGACAAAAGAATTCATTTTGCTGTTTAGATATGTCTTATGGTCTATCATTTCCAAGTATATGGTCTCTAACAAAGGGAAAGGTAATCCCAAAAAAGCTAAGTATATTTATGTGCTTTAGAAGGCTAAATGAGAGTTCATAACTGTTTTGGCTCTTTTCTGAAGTCTGAACTGTGTCCATGTACATAACGCAGAAAAAGGTGATACACTTGTTCATTTTGTTATTTTTGCTGCTATTCAAGCATGTATTTTTCCATCTGGGTTTTGATAGCAGCTACTAATTAATATCCAGACAGATTTTAGCATGGAGGACATTTTGCGCAAGTACATTCGATATGCATTGAATGAAAAACCGTTTAATCCCAGCCTTGTTGCTGACTTAATCCACCTTAGAAAAGCATCTTTGTTAGATGATTCCCAGGTTGCTGAAATTTTAAATGAAATCTCAAGGAGAATTGTCCGAGAAAAAGGTAATCCATTTTAGCTCCAGGCTTATGTATATATTTTAACTGCAAGCTCTTCTCTTTTGGTAAATATAGAAATATTATACATGTTCAAAAGGTCCAGTATCCCTTGAGTGGATTTTATATTTGGCATAAGTTGGTGATTGTTCTTTTGCACTAAATGGGACTTGTCTATCTGAATTCTAATGTTACAGATTGAAATGCCAAAACAAATAATCTCCTTTTTAATGGCTAGCATTTTGGATAACTTGGATGTTGATGATTTGCCATAAATTGTTATTTAGGAGGTCAATGCTTTATTTTCAGTCGTCATTTTCTTCCTAGCCAATGCTAGACTGACTAGCTGAGAGACCACCAAGTTTTGGTAGGGATATTGAAGTGGTTAGGTGAGTTAAGAATATTGTTAGCAACAGAAGTGGATATGAAAGGTTAGGGGTTACATGGTGGCACCAGCCTTCAGTAGTCATAATCGATTTATGCTCCATGAAACTCCTGTCATTGCTTTTGTTTGATGCTGAAATGAAGACTTCTGTTCAAGTGATGTTGTTGGATGGAGTTGTGGAAATATTATGGTATTGTTGTTCTACACTAACGTTAACAATGTTTTCCTCTAACCTGGTAAAATTTTCATATGGTTTTGTAACCATTTCATTCATATATTCATGGCCTAAGATGAATGTTTCGACTTTTAGCATTTTTGGTCTTTATTTTGTGATCATTATTCTTTTTAATCCTCCATTACTTGGATTTTATTACAATGATCTCTGCAGCCTTGGTCACATGTTGCTCTTCTAATGTGTGGCTGCATTTGTCCCAAATTTTCATTTGTCTTTTGACATTTTGTGAGTAGTTCATGTACTTTCTCTGGCCTTGGTCTTGCTGGTTGGTTATACTGGATTATGATGTGGAATGTTATAAACCTACTGATGCGGAACCAGAATTAACAATGTAATCCACAATGTTCATTAAGGCACCAAAACTTAAATCCTATAAAAACCTCTCTACTTAACCCGTTATCAATAGAGTGATAAGAATTAAAATTATTAGGAAATTAAAAGAATAGGAATAGGAAAAACGTTACAAGGAATATCTTGATAAATTGATTCAATTCCTTAACAAAAAGGATGAAGACAATTTACTAGTTGAAAGAAACTTTATAATTTTATTAATTGAAACTTGAATAATTATAATTGTGAATTGAACACCTATTTATAGAGTAAGTCATGTGTATTATAAGAAAATAAATTTTTTAAATTAATAGTAAAATTATAAGAAAATTAAATCTTGTTTTGAATGAGAAAATAATAAAAATTAAGAAAATTTTGAGTAAAATAGACTAAACAGGATCTTACATTTTTAAATGTAAATATTTTAATTAATTGTGGAGAAAATATGAAAAGTAATATGGTAAATTAGGGTTGACCATTAAAGGAGTAAAGAGATCACTCATATCTTTCCTAAGCCATGGGGGATTTCATTCTTTAAGGAATGAAATTTGATTTTCTCTTCCTTTAAAATATCACATAGTTTAGTAAGAAATCTTTTCTTTTGGCTGATTCTTCCTTTAAATGAGAAAATTTTCTGCTGGAGTATGGTAGAAAATCTCATGGGCAGAAGATCTATCCTTCATGGGAAAATCTTTTTTTTTTATTGCTTATTTTCTTCTTCCACTTGGATTGAGTTGCATGGACCATTATACCTTTGAGTTAATGAACTTGTTTTCTTCTTCTCTTGGGCTTCTTCACTTGATCCAAATCCGTCCTCCTCATTAATCCATTCTTGGATAAAAAGTTAAAAGGTTTGTTGTAACCTTTTTGCTCTTTCTAAAGTGATGGGTCCACTTGGCATGGTAACACTTTTTCTGAGTCTTCCTTGGCTGTCATCCTCCATTGGATCGGGTTTTGCTGCGGGTTGATTTCTCTTGGTCGTCCATCTCTTTATGGACCATGCTTACATCACCTACACTTTGAAACAGATTTCTAATAATCTCTTTGAAATATTTCAGTAAATATTACTTCATTTTCTTTTATGTGTCAATTCTATCACCAAATAGTGTGCATCAAAGACCCTCTGAGATGAACTCTTCTGTTATCATTTCATTTGGGATTTTATCATGGTTCTATTCTTTAGTTAATTGACCTTTAGATGCAATTTTACCCTTTGAAAAACGTTCAATTTGGAGATTTACAATGGATCCTGGTGTTCATTCTGCTTGTCGATTGTCTTGGTTATGGTTCTGAGTTGGTTATGTTGGCAACTTTTTTTTAGTTCTTATTTATTCTTTCATACATCTTCTAACTTGCCAAACTACCAGCAACTATAAAGCCATGGATAAAATGAACATGTCACATGAATGTGGATTTTTTCTTTGCAAATGTTTAATTTTGCTCTACAGGAAACAGTTGAAATTATTGATCTAGAGCTACAGTGTATGGACACCTTCTGATGCAGAACAAGAGGATCCTTAAGTGGGCATATTTCAATAATTAAGGATATGATGCAGAAACTAATAAAGGAAAATAAATGTTTTGTAAAGTTTTATGCTAAAAGAAATAGGAACATTGCATTTCTTTTTCTAGTCGAAATAAAAGAAAGTTTGTGATAAATAAAAATGGGAAGATTTAATTTTCTTTTCCTAATTATTCTCGTAGTTCTTTCTATTTAGTTTGTTTTTCTATTTTCTTGATTTTCTAGATTTTTTATTTCTAATTATACTTTGTACCTATAAATAAGACATCTATCTTAGTTATGAAGTAGAGTATTTATGATTATTATTCAAATATTAAAATATTGTTTTGATTATTGAGATTCAAAGTCTCTTTATCTTATATCACCTTATGTACACAGACTTTCTGGAAGTAATTCGTCCTTTCATAAAAAAAGTTTTTTTTTTTTAATGTTATTAAGTGATCTGAACCAGACGAAGTAAATGATAAGTCCAGATGAAGTAAGAGAAATGTCTTAGTGTTGATACTGGTTTATCAGATGCTGACGGCTTTTCTTTGCTTCCAGGCCCAGTTGTAATGGACATGTCAGGATTTACTGAGAAAGGATTTAAGAGAAAGCTTGCTGTACAAGCCCTTTTTGGAAAGGTTTTCTATCTTTCTGAGGTATGTGGTTGAACAACTAATGAGTTACCTCCTCAGGACTGCTATTTCTGATTCGGTATTTTATGTTGCATTTCAATACTTTTCTTGTACAAATTTCCTGTTTAGGAGTCTTTTATTTGAACAGACTATTTCTGTGTTGTTGCTTTTTGAAGACTATCTGTTGTTGCTTTTTGAAGACTATCTTGTGAAATTATCTTATTATTCATTTTTCTCGATCAACTGGATCTTGGACTTTGAAACATGTGGGGTTTATATGTTAATTGATTTGTGTCTTGGAAACAGTCATGTCATATATAATGCTTCACTTTAAATCTTATTCTGATGTATTATCCGAATGTAATCCAAGTGACTTCTGAGTTTCCGTTTGTCTCGAGGGGTTCTATATTTAAATTGGTTAGGTTACTAGGATAACATTGCTTGCTTCCATAATTGTGCAGTAGTATGTAATGTTTCTTTAGCACTATATAGCATGTTGGATTGACTCTGTTGTTGTCTTGGCTTTTTCGAACCAGCTGCCCGAGTTCTGTTCAAGGGATAACTCTTTAATTGTCAAGGAAATATTTGGAGTTACAGAGTAGGGAATTCTTTGTGAACTTTATACTCTTTATTTGGTTAAATGATGAAAAATGCTGTAGCTTCTTTATCCTTCCTTCTTTCTATAGTCATAACAAAACTTTCAACTGATATTACTAATGTAGTTTCCTTCATCTACTTCTCTCAGTGAAGATGCAGACAAACTTCGATTACATGCTCTTTCTGAAGCTGGGGATCTAGGTTCACTTGAGAAAATGGTTGATGGTACTGATTCCGAAGATTCCAAGGAGGACTTGCCTGATGCTTCTTGATCCATGCATATAATCACATTCATAGAGAACAAAGGCGCAGAGAAAAGAAAGGATTTCATCTGCGTATTCCCGTACAGGGAATTGTCTGAACTTGGAAACATGCAGTAGATATTCATTGGCAATATTTTCAGGGATCAGCTAAACTTCTAAGTTGAGATGAGAAATTTTGATGAGAAATAGTTATAATTATTAGATCATTTTTATCTTAAAAAAATAATTTTGATTAATTAATTAATAAAAATTATTTACGCATTATTTTTAAATTATTTAAAACAAAGTAAAATGTTAGAAACTAAATTAAATTATTTTATTAAAAAGAAATATAAATTATTTTATTAAAAAGTGGACAGAAATTAGATATTTAAAACGAAGTAAAATGTTAGAAATTAAATTGGAAACAACTTTTGTAAGGAAAGAAATATAAGAAATTAAATTAAAATAAATATTAAAAGTCGGATACTAATTTAATTATTTGTTTAAAGAAAAAAAAAATAGTAACATAAATTAAAAATAATAATTACTGATTACTTATGTAAAAGAAAATTAATTAGTAATTAATAAGATTTGGCTTGAAGTCTTATATCGAAAATCAAATAATTATTATGAATATTTACTTAACAATTTATTTATATATAAAATAGTTATTATTTAAAAATTACATATGTATAATAAATATTCAAATTATTTACAATTTATTTGTAAGAAATATATTAAAATTGAAAATTTAACTAATAACATAGGGTCACTTATCCACGTTCCTGTATATAACATTATTTTTAAAAATTAATTATGTATAGAATGAGTAAAAATTATGCTAAAAAATCAGTAAGAGATTTCAAATATATTAAATAATATCTGTATAATAATATAAATTGTGAGAAAAGATTATTTTAATTATTTGATTTTTACTACAAAATAAAAACTAATAGATTTTAATTTATCATAGTAAAATATTAATATAATGAAAAAAATCACATCTAAAAAAATTACACTTGGTACGTTATCATTTGTCAAAATTATAAAAAATTATTATGTTTATTTAAAAAATAAAATCAATGATTATTATTAGAAAAATATAAACTAATTATTATTTAATATTTCAATAAAAAAATAAATAGGGATAAAACCTTGTTTTTATAATTTTATTTCTCTCTGGTAATTTGCATTTTAATTTGTTTTCTCCAGTTACTAAACATTGGTCGATGTTACAGTTAAAACAACCAAAACAGAGAAACAAACCACCAACAAACAGCTTTCAATTTGGGTGCGGAGAAGCCGAGGTCCCTCCCAAGCCCCCAGCGGCTTCCTTCGTCTATTGCTCGTTCTCCTTCATTTCTTTCTCGTTTATATATATATACACACAGAATTATATATATATATATATATATATACCAGACACAGTAGGTGTGGCGTAATTGAATTGGTTTTGAAAATGATCCACCATTCTATTTCAAAACCTTCACTCTCTGCTTCAATCTCTCTCCCAAAAGCTACTAAATCATTTCTGTTTCCCAATTTCTCTTCTCACTTTAAAATCCGATGCGAGTCCATTGATTCGGCATCATCGGTATCGTCTTCGATCAATGTGAAACCATCGATATCTTTGGACGATTCGGCACCGCTCGCAGCTGGTAAGAAGTTGATGGAATCTGAGGGAGCAATGAAGAGTCGGCCTCCCTACCCGGGAGGGATGCCGAAGATGGGACCCTTCACGGGCAGAGATCCCGACTTAAAGAAGCCTCATTGGTTGAGGCAGAGAGCTCCTCAAGGTGAGAAGTTCCAGGAGGTTAAGGATTCCCTCTCTTCCTTGAAGCTCAACACCGTCTGCGAGGAAGCCCAGTGTCCTAACATAGGAGAGGTCAGTCTTTTTCCTGCTTATTCAGTTTCATTGTATGAATTGCTCGTAGATAGACGCCACTGTATTGTATTTCTCATAGAAGAATAAATAACCGATGCAGAACCTTAAGGATTTAAAAGAAGGGAGCTCGAGTTACATAGGAAATGTTAGGAGATTTTTTTGGGAGATAATCTTTATAGGAGATTTGAGTTTGATTTTGGTTGGAAGTCTAGATACTTTTTTCTAGATACTTTTTACACTTTGTTTTATGGTTTAGTGAGCGGTATGGCAATAATGTAACATTATTGAGTAGAGCAAATTGCTGATTAATTCTCATCTACGGATAAGTAATCTCACTACTATATTTTGGTGGGATACAGGGATAGAATAGAAATGTAATAAGTAAATAGCTTTCTTTATTATATTTGTTTGAACATGTATTTTAATGCGCTTCCACAATTAATAATACTATAATAAATCTGTTCAACAATCTATTTCCAAAATAAAAAAAACAAAAAAAAAAAAAAATTTATCCAATACCATATAAAAATAATAAATTTCCTATACAATTTTACCAGTATAATATATCATCATTGATAAAAATTTGTAAAACAATTTAAATGCAAGCTGCAAGTAAATAAAAAATGAAAATGTTGATTTAAGAATAAATAAAATTTTAGAAATATGCTATAAAATCTTATACACTATTTCTACGTGAAATAATAAAATTCTGTAATGGTAAAAGAAGGTGTTGGAGGTATTTTTGATGTTGGACAAAGTTCAAAAGAAGGAGAGAGAGAAGGGAACAGAAAGGATAGAAGAAATTAGAGGACATAGAGTGAGAAATTACAGGAACAGAGAGGAAGACTTCAGAGAATTTTATTAATGGCATAGATTTTACAGCTTACTGGTCATGTATTTGTAGAGGTTATACGTCCTGATCCTAAAGTCTCAGCCATTAACAGCTATGACCACTATTCTAATTACTCTGATTATTGTCCATATAACAAAACCCTGCTCTTAAGTTCCCTTGTCCTCAGAGGAAAAACCGGGAAACCTGTCTTCAATGTAATGCATCTTCCCATTTTGCTTGAGATGGTTCTTGTCTTTTCCACTGAATCAGGAGTTGCACCAGGGGTATGTTCTGACTTTTGATGTCTGCTCTCCAGAATGCACAGCGGTTGAAGAGAATTGTTTGTCTTGCAGAGGAGTTAATTGTCAGTGAGCCTGAGGGAAATCTTTCTTGAACTGCGGTACATGAAACTCTAGGTACACTCTATGCCCTTTTGGTAAATTGAGCTTGTATGGAACACTGCCCACCTTTTGAATAACGCAAAAGAGTCCTTTGTTATAGTGTCAAGCTTCTGATTAGTCCTGTTGAGTCAATTTTGTTGTTTGTGAGGTTTTAAAAGCACATAAACAGAGCCACTGGTTGTAAAGGTTCTTTCTGAACGATGTACATCAGTCAGCTGCTTCATGCAATGCTGTGCGCATTTGTATGTAACTTGAGGATTCTAAGAATATTTTCTAGCTCAGTCAAGTACTCATTTAAGGATTTGATCTTTGAGTATCCAGAGACATATGAAACATGAAGAGACGGTGGATATTCATATAAGGTTCAAAAGCTGATAACTTTATGACAGTACGATATGAGGTATTATACAAGAACTCTCTGAAAGGTAACACTGTGCCCACTTAGCTGGTGCATCATGGCACATGTAATGAAGATAAGTCTTGAGGCAACGGTCGTCTACATCTGTTTGGGCATCTATTAGAGACGGTAAGCTGTTGAGCATGCAAGAGAAATGCCCTGCAATTGAAGTAGTTCCTACAAAACATACTTAAGAAGATAGAATCATGATCCGAAATTATTGCTGATAAGCCATGCAATTTGAAAATTGTATTCATGAATTTCTTGGCCACTGTCATGATAGAGAAAGGATGTGTAAGGGCTTGAAAATGTGCGTGTTTACTTAGACAATTGACCATGTGCCAGTACGACTTAGGCAAGCCTTCTATGAAATCTAGTAAAATACTTGTCCATGGCATTAAGGGAATAGGTAATGGTTGTAACAAGTCAAGATAGGGAGAGAATGGGTTTGCATTTTGGACAAGTGGGATAGTAAAAAATTAGTAGCAGATGTCTTTTTCCAACCCTGTCCAATAAAAAATTATGATTTTTTTTTCTAACTGGCCGAAGAACAATAATTACTTATGATAGAACCTTCATGGAATTCTTTCATAATCTTGTTTAGTTGTTTCCAACAACCAATGAAAGCTCTGATTCCACAGATAAACTTAAGTATTTTGTGGATAGTCTTGAAGCTCCTTAATGGTTGTCTGAACGCGTGCATGCTGAGTGCAACTTGCTTGAATTTCATTAGTAATGTAGGATGGACTGCAGAAGTTGCCAAGGACATTAAGTGACTTTCTAGTATGCGAGAGAGAGCATTGATGATACGAATCCAGGTGGGACAAGTTCTAACTCACGGCCAAAACACAATTCAAGCTCACATGAGACATTATATAATCTTAAAAGCTTACGGCTGCAAGGGAAATCATGCCTACATGAGTTTAAAAGGTAATGTCCTCATTAAAGGAGAGCAAGATCTAACTCAAGATGAAATTCACGGCCACATGGGAGCTTACATGGAAGCTCACGCCTTCATTGGAAGATACAAGGAGACTCACGGCCTTATGAGCTTAATAGGCCATGGATTAGGCCTTGTGAATGATGGGAGACAAGACAAGGTTCAGTCCAAGGGAGGTCCTATGGTTTGATCCATAAAAGTGGATGAAAAGATCCAATCCAAGAAAAGCAAAGTCCATATGGAGAAAAGCTTATGATAAATCCAATTCAAGATGCTCTTGAGCTTTATCGATGCAGTATCACTAGGACATGGGTCAATAAACTAAAGGAAGACTTTCAAGTCTATGCTAAAGGATGGATCCATGAAGAGGAAAGTCTTGGACCGAAATTGGAAAGCCTTGGAAGAGGAAGGTTGAGCCATTTACATCTTTGGGAGGAGTCGCCATTAGCTTGTCCTACAACAAGGGAAAATCTAGCCACTAAAGAGTCTTCAAGTGGGAGGATTCTCAGGTATCTCAATCTCTACAAGCATGGAAAGCCAATCAAGAGTTTCCTCAGTGTACAAATCATTCTATCTAAGCCAAAAGGTTTCCTAAAGCTCAGGGACAGCTTAGACTCAATCACGTGGAGAATTTCTTTCTCACCCTTGAGAAATTTTCTTTAACACGAGGGATTTTTTTCCTCCTCATCTCATCCTTAATCAGTCGCACAAGATCATAGAGGGATACTTCTTTTCAAAAAGGCATATTATGTGATACCCGAGTCCGAAAAGTGGCTCGAGATAATTTTTTTTTATTAAATTATTTTATTAAAATAATTATTTTATTTATTATATTTTTATTTTATTGAATTTTTGAGAAAAAATGAATTAATGACGAGATTGAAAATATTTTTGGAAAAAAAAGGGTGAAAATTTGAGTTCGGGGAGTGTTTTTGAAAGAAAAATTGGAAATAGGGAGTCAAAGTGCAAAAAAAAAATCGGCCACGTGGGACGGCTAAGTCAGTAGCTCCGATGAATCAGAGCACACCGCGTGTCGAAACACGCTAACGTTGACACCATGTGGACGATCCGTATACCCAGCGATCCGACGGCCCAGGTTCGATCTCGCACAAGTGAACGACTCAAATTCGTTTTTTCCTTAAACGCGATCGAATGGACGAGATCAATCGCAATGAACGACCCAGATTCGCCCATGCAATCGGACAAAACAGATAAAGATCGAACGGCCCTCCTCGTTCCACGTCGATGCGAATTGACAGTTTAGATCGACGCAGAATGGGTATAAATACTTTTCGTAACAGGGGAATCCAAACTCTAGCTGCCAGCCCTCGGCGAAAAAGAACCAGGCGCTGGATAAGAAGGACGACTGGTGACTATCGCCGCACCGGAGCCACTATTGACCGCCGCTGCAAACTGCCAAAAAAAGTAAAATTTTTGCTTACGCGCTCGGAATTCGATTCCGAGCCTCCCTATGGTCATATCGGAGTAAGAGTGATGGCGGGTGAGACGGAAATCGCGCGCAAAGCCTGGCAAAGCCGCTGCAGTCGAAACCTAAAAATCCCTCCAATGAGTCTCTTCCCACTTCCCGTTTCATGTGATTTTTGGATCATTGTGTTCACCATTTTCTGTGCAAATTAGCCGAAGAAAGAACTTCAGCCGCGAAGGAGGACTGGTAGAGCCGCCGCACCCAGAGACTCGCTCGTCGGTAGGTTCAGTTTTTTATAATTTTTTAGCCAACCGAGACCCCCTAACGTGTTTTTTCGCAGGAATACGTATAAAATTAGCCAAAATCGGTCAGATTGAGGCAAACCGCCGCCGTGGGCAGCGGAGTTGGCGCTGGATCACGTCGGTGGTGTCATGTTAGAACTCCAAAATTAGATGGAAAGAGTTTTGGATATCGATTTTGGATTTTTAGGGTATTTTTAAGTACGTGACGAGTGTTTTTGATTTCACAGAAAAATTCAAGAAACCTGAGACTCGTTAAAAGGTGTAGTAGACAGCGCGGAGTCTCGAAATACCGATTCGGGTAAGAATTTTTCACCTTATTCTCCGTTATGATAAATTGAGACTTAACGATGTATAATTTCGTATTTTTATTAAAAAATTAGAAAATTTTAAAAATAATTACAGATCACTAATGGAGGTGGAACCGGTTAGTTTACAATTGTTCTGATTTCCTATTTATTTTTTTGTACTGCTCTATTCGCTTGTTATTATATGGTATATATTCTTAATTTATAATTTTTATGGTGTTATCGATTTATGTAGTTTATTTGGTTATCTGTTGCTCGATCCCTTGTTATGATCAGCTATATCATCTGTATAAATGTCGTTTAATTGATATGTAAATATAATATGAGATATTGGTATGCGTTTGTTGGTTGTTTTGTTGTTGAAAATATTTATGTGAAAGACTTACTTGGTACTCAGGGAAAAGATGGACAGATCTAATACATAGGGAACTTTATCGTGAACGTTATCTCAGCTGAACAGGGCTGAGAAGTCCCTTATCGGAAGTTTGGGAGATATGGTTCACCCTCATACTAGATAGGGTATCGTGGCGATGAAATGTTTGGCACCCATCATCGGACGGGGTATGGGGACGACTGATTAATTGTTAAAATTAGATATTAAGTTTACGAGTAGGGGGACATTCCTATGGACCCTCCAGAGATATTAATAAACAAGTAAGAAAGGAAAATTATCGTTTTTTGTTCACTTGTGCGTGAAAATAAAAAGTGATATGAATATGGGTTTTCATAGGTTGATTTTTGGAAAACTCGTAATGGTGAATGTCTAACAAACATTTTAAAATTAAATGTATTTAATTAAAGTAAAGGCTGCATTAGTTGTTTTTTTCCTGATTTTTACTAATTTTTAGTTTTCCATATCAATGAGTTGTGTGATATTTTTATTGGGTTAGTGTAACTCATCCTTTCATTAACCATTTCAGATTAAGAGAATCAGAATCTAGATCCCGATCAATGAGAAGGTTGTGAGTAGTTTACCTTTCATACCCACAAAATCATGGACAAAATCATGGACGGAATGGGCAAGATCATGGGCGGATTCCTTAAATCATTGATGAACTAACTTCAAATTCCCAAGAAAGCAAGAAATCTCCTCATACTCTTCAAGAGATCTTCCCTTATTTTAATTACATATTATATTTAAACCAAAAAATCTTATCGCGGGCGGCCACATCTCATTAAATCGTCAAAGAATCTTTTTTAATTCAAGATGGACGACCATATCTTAATTAAAAAGTTTTATTTTCTTAAATATGTAATTTATTATTTTTCTAGATAAGTATTTACAATCATTTAGGAGATTTAGTTCTATTGTAATTCTCTTGGCCTCATCTATAAATAGGCCTCATGCCAATGTTTATAATCATTCTCAATCAAAGGTTTAAGCAATAAAATACAACGTTTTTTAACTTTTGAACTAGTGAGATTTTCTTCAACCTTCTTATTGAGTAAAAAATTGTTTCTATTTATCAAGATAACTTTTGTGGCGTTTTATCAATTACTATTTTTTTCAATTACTTTAGTTCCAAACATCTATTGATTATAGGTTAAGTAGGGAAGATTTGTTTAAAAAATAAGTTTTAGTGCTAATTATGTACGTGTGAGTTTAAATTTCACTGTTGACCTTAAATTTCGCATCATTTGATATCAGAGTTTAGATTCGAGATAAATCATACTTATTGTTCATTGTTGATTCTCGATTCTACATCATTTAGTTTGTTTATTTTGTTGATGATTGTACAAGAGTCATTTAGCTTTTTTTACTTAAATTTAAATATGATGTGAGTCATGCACTTCCACAATACGATTAGAATCTAATTTGGTGCTCATATTAAAAGATTGCACATTGATAATGTTAAAGATGTTTTCAATATGAGACTATCATCCTTTTTTTCAATGAAAATGGATTGTCCATGAGTTCTCTTGTATTCACACTCTATGACAAAATGAAGAATTAGAAAGTAAAAATGGTCACTTACTAGCTACTACCTAATCCTTGTTCCAAAATCATGTGCCTAAACAATAAAGATAGAAAGCTGTCCTCACTGGCACTTATCTGATAAATCAATTACTATCCAGGGTGTTGGATTTTAAGAGTTCCATGGAAGTTCTTTTCAAATTCTACCCAGAGGTTAGTGTCACAAACAATCTTATCGATAAAATATATGAGTGTGCCGCCTTTTTTGAAATGCATTAACATCAGCAAGGAAACTCAATTCAAAAGTTTTCAAGTGTACTTTTGTGAGACACTTCTCAACTCAAAAGGATTACAAATGTTATTATTCGTCTACCAAAAAATTTTATGTAATTATCGCTGTTACATTTATTAAGACCAAGTCATACTTTAGTAAACTTTATTTTCAAGGGGAGACTATGACAAAAGATAAAAGACTTGTTCTTTTTTTATTTTACCTTATCCTCTATATCATCAGTCTATCTACCTTTAATACTACCCGTAAATAACCTGTCTTAGTTATCTCACAACTAAAAAAAGTGACCTACCAGCACCTCTACCTTCAACACTACCACCAAATAACCCTTCTCATTTACCTCACAACCCAGAAAATGACCCACCTAATTACTTTAAAACCCAAAGAATGAACTAGCACCAATGAGCGTGCATGACTCAAGATTCTCTCAGTTATACTCAAGAACGAAGAATCTGAATCCTAAACTGAAGCAAGTTCAAGCATTAGAGTGAAGTTCTGGAAATGAATTAACTTATGAGAATCCTTCATATTCTAACATTGATATACCTATTGCAATTCAAAAAGAAATTAGAGAATGTACTAACCGTCCACTTTATTCAATCTCAAATTTTATCATTTGACAAGTGTTCACTATTCTCCAAAAGGTTTCTTATGTGTTTAAATATAGAATATATTTCTAATACATTATTTGAGACGTTCTATGAAAAAATGAAGAAATGCTATGGAAATTGAAATACGAGCATTCGGAGAAAAACCATATATGGAATCTAATAGACCTACTCAAGGAAAAAGATTTGTAGGATGCAAATAAATGTTCACTGTAAAGTACGAAATTGATGGTACAACAGAAAGGTATAAAGTAAGGTTGGTGGCCAATATACCCAGACCTATAGAATAGATTGTCAAAAGAATTTGCACATGTTTTCAAGATGAAAGCCATTCAAGTTTTATTGTTTTTAGTTGCCAACTTTGATTGACAATTGTTGCAGTCTGATGTGAAAAATGTCTTTTTGCATGTAGATTTGCAGAAGAAAATTTGCATAGAAATTCTATCAGCATCCACAAAAGTTATAAGAGCGAAAAAAATTTATAAATTAAAAAAAAACTTTTTATGGACTCAAACATTCATCCAAGGCATGGTTTGAAGATTTGTAAAGGTGATATTGGTAGTAAGATACAACTAAAGTCAAAGAGACCACACTCCTATTTATCAAGCACTTAGATTTAGGCAAAATTACAATTCTGGCTGTGTATATTGATGATATTACTTTGATAGGTGATGATGAAAAAGGGAGATTGGTGCTCAAATGGCGTTTAGGCAAAAAATTTGAAATTAAAAAACTAGAGAAGCTAAATACTTCCTTGAAGTAGAAGTGACTAATTCAAAAGTTGGAATTTTCATCTTACAACAAAAGTGTATCAAGGATCTAAAGAATATAGGCAAACTGGCATGGAAACCTGTTAGCACATTGTTTGATCCCAACTATAAACTGGGATTAGCAGAGGAAAGACTTATCTATCTAGTACACAGAAGACCAAAAATTTCTTATGCAGTAATTTAATAAGCCAGTTTATGCACAATTCCAAAGAAGTAAAATTTATTCATTTAACTATTTTTTGGGTGATTTGAAAAGACAAAAATAATAGGACTTTTGAATGGATAGAGGAAGAGATGTCAAAAATTAGAGATAGACGATTGCATTATTTTGCCTTGTTGATTTTGGGTCGTGACATTTATAATGAGAAGATTTTGGGAATTTCAGATGTACTCACAAATTTGTGAATATCTTATAAATGGATAATACCCTCTTGTGCCCTATTTATGTACTTTCATACTTTTTATTTAAAAAAAATGCACAATTCCTAAGTGCATTTAAAGGAAGCATGACGAGTGCTATAATTCCTAAAGGGAACACCATAAAAGGGTATCATGTTTAGAAAGTAATAAAATTAGTTCTAGAAACCTACACTGATGAGCTGATTTTGCTAGATTAATAGCGGATAGAAAATCCACTACATGTTGTTGTACTTCCTTTGGAGGAAATTTGATCACATGGAGTAGTAAGAAATAAAATGTGGTAGCAAGATACTATGTAGAATCTAAATTTCAAACAACAATCCAAGGAGTCAATGAGTTATTGTTATTGAAAATAATTTTGAAGACCTAAGGATCAAGTGAGGTGACCCGATGAGATTATTATGATAAAAAGACAGCAATCAATATTGCTTATAATCCAATACAATATGACAGGATAAAACGCATTGAAAGTTAATAGACAATTCATCAAAGAAAAGGTAGATAGTGGTTTACTCTGCACATCCTATATATGTAAGGACCCCGGAAATCCAAAAGGAAATATATAATAATTTAAGTACGGAAGCGAAATAAAAGGTTAAAGTTTACATCCTTTATACAATAATTTAAAAGTAGTAAACAAACATTACGAAATAAATTCTCTAAAAAAAACATGAGAAATACAAAAAGTAATTGAAAATAAAAAGTATCTAGCACCTACTAGCAATCTTCCTGTGAATCGGGTTCTAAAATCAGATCCTGTTGATCTGAAATGGTTAGATAAGGGATGAACTACACTAGCCGAGTAAGGATATCACACTACATCACCAGCACAGAAGTAAAGGTTGGTAGAAAATCAAAACAATTAATGGAGTACTAAATTTAGCAAATTCGTTTATCAATTGTAAAATCATTTACCGTTCACTTACCATTGTGAAATTTATAAAAACAACCTATAGAGACAATAATATCACACAAATAATAACTTCATGTACAATAAGCAACATAAAATATGTCATAAATTCATATTTATTAACAATAAAATAAATCATAACCATTTCTTGTTTTACCAGCTTACTAGTATCCGTGGGGATCCATAGGGGTGTCCCTGCTACACATGAACGCTTTCCCTTAACAATCTCAATTACAGGGCCGTCCCCATACCCCGTCCGGTATGAGCACCAAATTATCAACTCTCCATACCCCGTCCGGTATGAGACAACGTTCACGGTAGGGTTCCCTATGAACCCGATCCGTCCACCATCTCGCAAGATATCTAGTGAGACTATCATTTTATCTGTTTATTTGATCACACCCCTTTCCTATTTTTCCTTAATCTCCGTTACCAAATCAAACATAATCATATAAACAAATGAACAAGCATCCGGTAATGCAATCATATTTTAAATTCCAAAATCAAACAGTGGTCAAATAAGACAGTAATACATGCATTTAAAACATAAAATAGATAAATCAGATACCATCATACTTTTAGAATGTAAAATAAATCAACAGAAATCAATAAAGAACAATATCCGGTTCTGGCTCCATTAGCAATCCGTAATTAATTATGTACATCTATTTAATTTGTACAAAAAACTGTATTATTATTTATTTAAACTTCAAATCTATGATAGGAAATAGGGTGAGGGATCCTTACTTGATTTGACACCGAAAAGGTAAATGGTTTACTGTACCTACGGGCGGTCCCTGGGTTCCCTGAATTTTTTTTCGGGAATTGAAACGTACTTATGGTACCTACAAATATCCCAAATAAACCCAAAAATTAGTTCCAGGCCTACTCGGCCAATTTCGGAAATCCGGCACTGCGGCGGTCCGCCTCGAGTTGGCCATTTTTGGCCTTTTTGGCCGAATTTGGTCGATTTTACATCGATTCCTGTGAGCGCACATGCTAAAGGGCCTCGGTGGGCCAAAAAATACGAAAAACCGAAACTCACCGGCGGCTCCTTCGGATCACGTTACGGTTGGGTGTTTCGCTTCAGTCAACCTGTAGAGAAGAAAACGGTGATCACAACGGTAAAAAAATTACACGAAACGAGAATCGGGAAGGGTCTCATCGGAGGCGGTTTGTGAAATTCCCCGCGGCGGCGGCGACGGGCTACGGCGGTGTTTTCTGGCCAATTGGTCGGTTCTTTCACTCTAATTTGGCCATGGGTGGGTTTAAAATTGAATTTCGTGCAAAAAAATTTTTTTTGACCTTTTTTGGTGGTCGGAAAAGGTTCCGATGTGGCGGCGGTCGGCTCCCCGGCGGCTGGGTTGTCTTCTCCGGCGAGGGGTATT